CCCCGGCACCTGGCACTCTCGCCCCAGCCCTGCCCCGGCACGGACGGAGCTGGCGAGTGGCGCCCCGGCCTCTACGTCCGGCTGGTCTCAGAAAGCTGACGGCCGTGGGGGCCCGTGGGCCAGCGTGGCCCAGCCAGCCACAGGCCGCACTGCGGTGCCCAGACCGGAGACCATGACCCCGAGTGACCGCAGCAAAGAGCCCGAGGCGTCCACGCCGCCCAGGGGCCTGGCGCCGCTGGCGAGGGACCCCCCAGCTCTCGCCTCGCTGCCTGCGACCGAGGACCTGCGAGGACCTGGCGCGGGGCAGAGCCATGGTGTAGTCACGTCCTCCGTGCCGCCCGTCTCCAGTGCGCCCCGTGCCGCTCCTCCTGCGCTGCCGTCACCGCGGGCCACCGAGGAGAACAGGGACACGGGCATCACGGCGACGCTGCGCCAGGAGACGGCACGTCCAGGGACCCCTCGCACCACCACGGCGCTGCTCCTTGGCCCTGGCACCCCACGGGCCAGCGCTCCCCAGGGCTCCTTGCCGCCTGCTGCCCTGGAGCCACGTGGGAGCCCCACGTCCACTTTGGAGAGGGGCCTTCCCGGGTCCCCACCTGCCCCAGGACCCTCCATGCCCAGCTCGTCTCCATCTTGGAGCGCGGTGACCGCGGGCGCTGCCACGGCTGCATCCCCCTCGGCCTCGCGGAGCTGGAGCAGAGAGACGGCGAGGCCGGCGCTGGAGCTGTCGGCTGGGCTCACGGGCACCGCGCCGAGGCTGTCCAGCCCCGCCACGGAGCCTGCACCCCCCAGCAGCGTGTGGCAGACCCTCCCGGGCAGCAGCAACACCCCAGGGGCTCAGCCCAGGCCCAGGCACCCTGTCCCCAAGCTGGCATTGGCCGCTGAGAGCACCGGGGCCCTGCCACGTCCGGCAGCCACAGGCAGCGTCCCGCAGACGTGGGGCCCGCGCCCTGCCCGTCCTGCGAGCAGCACCGGGACGGCAGCTCCTGGTGCCGGCACCCGCGTCGGGGACTCTACGCCAGCAGCGAGACCTGGCCCGGGCAGCGTGACCGAGGCCCCGGCTCCAGCTGGACCCGCTGGGGATGCCCACGGCGCGGCCCAGCGCGTCTTTGTGGTGGAGGATCAGCCCCCGCTCCTCAAAGGTGAGTCCTGGGGAGGGGGCTCCCCATTGAGGGCACAGCTGGGGTAGGGGCTCATGGGTGCAAATCATTGTGGGCATCTCCCGCCCAGTGCCCAGATGGCAGCACCAGCCCCATGGGCTCGTTGGGCACCTCCGGGTTGGTGCAGATTGTGGGGTGACCCCGTCCCCCGTGGGCATCAACCTGTGGCAGGGTCTGGCTGCGTGGCCCCTGAGGGTGGCAGCCCCAGGGGGACACCTGCGATGGCTGCCCGCTTCCAGGAGTGCGGGGCTGGGCTGAACCGCGGCGCTGGGCAGGGCTCATCGAGAGCAGCGCGTGCGGCTCCGGGCCCCCCCCGGGCTTGCATCAGGGTTTGTCTGGGCTGCTTTGGACGGGGCTGGTCCTGCCTCAGGCAAGGCTCGGACTAGCCGTGACCACCCCTGCAGCCCTGTGGCTCTAGGGATGGCTCGGAGCTGGCGGGGCAGGGCTGAGGGGGCTCAGGGTGTGAGCTGTGATCGTGTCCCCGGGCTGGCCCGGGCCCCTTGTCCGCAGCGCACGTCCTCCGTGTCCCCTGCGAGCTGGTGCTGGAGATGGAGCTGGTCCCGGCGCTCCAGGACCCAGCGTCGCGGGAGCACCAGGGCCTGGTGCGGTGCTTCAATGAGACGGTGAGGCCTCAGGCACGGGCCGGACCTGGGGGCGCCGGGGTCCGCAGCCCCCTTCTCTCCTCTCATGTGGCCCATCCTGTTCTGCTGCACAGGTCGCTCCGCTCTTGGCCGCCGTGCCGGGCTTCCAGCGCCTGGAAGTGAAGAGGATCGGATGGGAGCAGCCACGGCCCCGCGTGGAGCTGCAGCCCTGGTGAGCTCTGCCGCTGGGCTACACGTGGCCACGATGACGCTGTGCTGGCGGTGCCACGGCCACAGGCCCTGCCCCAGGGGTGGGTTGGGGTTGCGTCTCCAGCTTGCGGCCGCCCAGCCAGTGCACACACTGGGCGCTCGCCTGTGCCCTGGGCCGTGTCTGACCGTCCTGGTGGCTGCGCTCTCCCCCCAGGCAGGGTGGCGCGGTCCTGGAGTACGACGCCCTGTTTGCGCTCGAGCGGGGCCGCTGGCCGGTGCCCGGCGTGGGAGCCCTGCTCAACCTGACCGTGCAGTCCAGCCTGCGCATCGCCAACGCCAGCGTGCTACGTGGCACCGTGCTCGGTGAGTCCCTGCTGCAGCTCGGCCTCAGCCCCAGGCCCCGTGGCTGCCCCGTCCGCAGCCCGGCTGGCTCCAGCATCGGGGATCCAGGCAGGCCTCCATTTGCTTTGCTGTCTGTGTTCAAGCGGGGTTCGTATGAGCACTGCGCGGCGCGGCTCTTCGCCAGGGTCTGGAGGAGCAGCCGGCAGTGGTTGCCTGTATTGTAAGCAGCTGTGAGGGCGACAAACACGGCTCCAGAGACTTGGCCTCTTTCAAAACCATCCTCAGGACGTGGCGTTAGACTGAGCAGCTGGCTCGCGGGTGCTTTTCCTGGGCAAAAGCCGCCCTGTTCGGGGATGCCGTGTCTACCCACGTATGGGGCAAACCGTCCCGTATCCGTCGCTTGGGCAGTTTGCATGTGCAGCACAGCACAGCGAGCGGAGCCTCATGCTCTTTGGGTCAGAGGGATCGTCCCCGGCTTTAGAGGTGCCACGACCTGAGCACATCGCCATATCTGGGAATTTGTTCACTGTGTTGCAGAGGCGGAGGAGCCATTCTCGAGGCTGGGGTCCCAATTGCTTGACTTGCTCATTAACTACCTCGTCAAGGCGGGCTGCTTTCCTGGTCTTCGGTGTGTTAGTAGCGGGGGTGTTGGTTGTAGCCGCGTTGGTTCAAGGACGCGGGCAGACGAGGTTCTTTGGGCAGAGGTGATTATCTTTAGTACACCAAATCAATAGCTGGAAAAATGGTTCTTTGCAAGCTATCGGGTACAAAGCCCCTTCTTCATTAATGGCAGCATCCAGCTCCGTCGTTGCGAAGGGGCTCGTAAAACCCAGGACTTGGGGGTGCTTGTACGTTCCAGTCTGAGGGGTTTTTTGGTCTGTTTTGGGGGCTTTTTCCATTGAGAAGCATCTGGTGAGCAATTTGGCTAGCAGCGCCAGCATGCTGTAGCTCTGTCTTACGTGGGGCTTTGCTTGGGTTACACCCCGCTCCCCCGTGCCGGTTTACTAGCGTGTCTCATTGCAGCTGACGGGCTCCGGCTCTGCATGCGTCCGTGGGGGCTGACAGCAGCTCCTCGCCCGTCGCGATGGTGTTTGTGAATAAAGGGCCTAGTTTGTCTGTCACGTGCAGTGTTCACACCGGCCAGGGGGGTTGTGGTATGAAGCCTGGGCTGTACCGCATGCAGCAGCCCCATGGGATGCTCCTCCTTGCAGCTTTCCCGACCTGGTCCTAGTTTCGTGTAGTGCCCCCAGGGAGCGGCAATGTCGATAAATCCCCAGTGACTTCCCCATGGAGCATGCTGGCAGCCCTGCTCCCAGCCCCGCTTCGTGCCTCTCGCTCCTAACTGACCAGGCCTGGCCTCTTCAGTCTCCTGCTATGGCGAGGCGAGGCGAGGCGGGGCGGTGGGTGGCCAGCCTGACCCCGCCACGCGCCTCCCTGCCCGCAGAGACCCGGCTGGACCCCTGCGCACTGCTCTTCGCATGCCCAGCCGGGTTTGAGTGCGTCGGCCGTGGAGACGGGAATGCCAGCTGCACGTCCGTGTGCCACCGTGACTACTGCAAGAACCACGGCATCTGCATGCACCCCCGGGGCCGTGAGCCCGTGTGCCAGTGAGTGTGGGCCCTGGGCACAGGACTGGGGGAAGCTGGCACCTTGGGGGGAAGGGGTGGCGCTGGCAGCCCTGGGGCTGCAGACAGCTCACGGGGCAGCTGTGGCACCTGACCCACGTGCCCGGTGCTGCAGGTGCCCGGTGGGCAGCGACTACTGGTTCATGGGGCTGCGCTGCGACTACAAGGTGACGCACCAGGGGCTGCTGGGCGCAGCCTGCGGGGTGCTGCTCAGCGTGGTGCTGGTGGGCGCTGTCATTGCCGGCCTGGTCATCCGGCGAGTCAAGACCCTGCTGCTGGAGGCCAAGGTCGACCAGACCAAGAGCAGGTGAGCTGGCGCGACCAGCGGGCACGGGGGGAGAGGCCGTGCACCTGCCGTGTCCACCCCCAGCACCCGGAGCACCCCCCCGACACCTGTAGCAAAGGAGGGGGAAAAACTTCCTGCCTGGCCCATGCAGAGCTGGGGAAGCCCAGACACCGGCACGTGCTGCCTCTGGACCCCGCTTGCTGCTCCGTGCCTGTTGAAACCGCAGCGCTCGGAGCTGCACGTGGGGCTCTAGACGAGGCCTGAGCAGCAGCACGATCGCTGCCTGCACCTCACGCTCCGACGGCCTCAGCCCAGAGCCAGGCGTCGCCTGCGTGGCTGCATCCTGCTGCGGCCCCCAGCACGTGGGGCCCCTGCCCGGGACAGCACCACCCTGCATGCGGCTCCCTGTGCCAGACCATGGCTGTTGTGCTGGGGGGCGGCAGGACGGGGCAGGGGGCCTGGGGCTGTTATCCTTGGGGGGGGGCTGGCCATGCCGACGCCACTGGGCTGGGCCAGCTGGAGCGGGGCCAAGGTCAACAGGCTGCAGGGGCTGATAGCGGCTGCCCTGGGCTGAAGCCAGGGGAGAGGCAGGAAGACGCGGCTCGAGCACCTGCAGGGCTGCAGGCCAGGCCCAGCCTGCTCCCAGCCACTGCCCTGAGGGCAGCACTGAGCCCCCCAGGCCTGGGCAGACACGGGGGGTTGGAAGAGAAGGGCAGTGCTGGGCTCTGAAGGCTGCACAACCTAAGTGCCTGCCCTGACCTGCCCTGCCCTGCCCTGCATGCCACCGGTGCCCACCAGTGCAGCGCCCCGCACCCAAGACCACAGCCCTCTGCCCGGCCAGTGCCCCTCACTCCCAGCCCTTCAGCCCCAGGCTCCCTCCCCACTCCTTGGCGCGGGTGTCAGGCCCGGCTCCCTCCTCCGCCTGCCCCGAAGGTCAGTGCATGGTGCAAGGAGGGTGGGGTTGTGCACTCAGCGCCTTGGCAGCAGCCGCGCTTCCTGCCTGCATGGGCGCGATATCCCCAGGGCTTTCTTCGAGGGACAGGCCGCAGCCACGGATGTCCGGCCCCGAGGAACCCGGGCTGGAACGCGGGAGGGGGGAAGGGCTGCAGGTGGGGAGTGAGGGGCACCAGCAGGGCTGGGGGTGCCAGCGAGGCAAGGGGTGGGATGCACAGGCTGTGCTGGGGCAGGGGGTGCATCGCAGTCCGGGTGCCCAAGCCCCAGGCTTGTGTCATAGCTCAGATGCATGCTGGCGCCGAGCCCCTGGTGTGGCCTGGCACAGCCTGGACAGGACACTTGTAGCTGCACCCCATGTGCTCCAGCTGTGAGCAAGAGGCAGGCGGGGCGCAGAGCCTGGCATTGCCCACACCAACACCCCCTGGCCAGCCGGGCAGAGGCCCTGCATTGCCGCTGGCATGGGTCAGAGCATCCTGGGGGTGCCGCCATTAGTGTGTCCCTGGGCCCATGCTGGCACAATGACAGCCTTAGCACCAGCCCTGGGACCACAGCCCCCCAGGACCCGCTCGCCCTCCTCTCTCAGCTACAGGCGGTTCTGCCGGCTGGACGATGTCTCAGCTCAGTACTGGTCGCAGTCCTGGCTGGCCTCTGCCAACTCCTTGGACAACCCGGCCTTCTGCCCCTCCGAGGAGGTGCTGCACCTGCAGGTGCTGGACAACGGCTGCTGCAGCTGCAAGGACGACTCCCTGCTCACCGACGGCTGCAAGCCACAGCCCACACTGCCCCTCCGTGCCACCTGCCAGCCCAGGTAATCCGGAATGCAGGGTGCTGCGGCCAGGGGCTTGGGACCAGGGCCCTCCTTGTCCTAGGCCTGGGGCTGTGTAGGGCAGGACAGCATGCACCTGTTTAGGGAAAAGGCCAGCGGGCTCCCACAAACTTTCCACTATTATTGCTTCTTTCCAAACAGAGCTATGGAAAGAGCAACTCGGCCCATCACCAGCCCCGGAGGCCAGGGAGCAGCCTGTGCTCTCTGTGGCATCTCCCTGCAGCAGGAAACAGGGCAGCCTGGGGCCTCGCAAGCTGAAAGGCTGCTTTGAAATGGGTCTGGAAAGGCCTCGTCTCCTGCTGGGGTTCAGAGAGCAGGCAGGGCGGCGGCATCAGACCCCTGCCACTGCCCTTCCCTGTCCCCATTCAATCCCCTCCAAGGGCTGCACCCCACAAACACTACATGAGCCATTGCGGGGGAGCAGGAGCCAGGCAGCAGTTGAGAGAGGAAGGCAAAGGGGAGCCCGGTTCTTGGTCCCAACCCTCATCTTGCATTCCAGTTTCCACTATGACTGGGAAACGAGTTCCAGCAGCATGAACGACCCCATGATCGACTCGGGGAAAGCCAGTGACATTTCTGTGTCCAGCTGGCCCATGGAGCCCATTCAGTGGACGCCGTTTCCGCTCCTGCACCAGCTTTCCCGACAGCGGCCGGTAAGCAGGACGCCCACACTCCTCCAGCAGCCACGTCCCCCTATTCGTGACGTGCACATATTTGCTTATCCATGTGCTGCCAGGCAGAGGGCAAACTGAGTGGGCTGGGCTGCCTCTTTGCCCCTCAGATTCTCACATTTGGACATGGGGGAAGGGGCGCTGGGGCAAGTACAACTCACCTGTCACTAACAGGTGAACCTGTTTTCCCCACAGCACAAAGCCCGGCGGCCTCACTCCTACTGTGAGGGCATGGAGCTGGTCAATCTGGAAAGGAGCTGGACAGCCTAGACGGCAGCCGACACACCACAGGCAACTCCATTCAGCTTTTAAAACCAACCACGTTTTATTTTCACATAACAAGCTCGGTGAAGGAATCTCAAACACTTGGACAATACAATCAATGCAGGTATGATGTCAGTTTTACTCAGTGCAGGAGTCCTGAAGATTATCAGCTAAACTTTTCGACATGATTTCAGACCGGACTTTGGAAGCCAGCTTTGGTTTGGGACAGCATCGTTAGCAGTAAAGTAGTTACAGAGAAGTGTCAAGGGACACGCAATGCTGGCATCCGACAGAGTTAACGACTTATACCTGGTGGGTTGTGAAGAAAAGTCTTTAAGTTTCTGAACGTCGCATCATACTATGTACATAGATGGTCTGCCCTACAGCCATTTCAGAACAAGCTAAGCCACTGTGAAGATTGAAATACAAATTCCGCACTGCTGCATTGTTCATCGTGATTCATGTCAATGAGGTATAAATTTTAACACTAGGACATTTTTAAGTATTAAACTTTTATTTTCCAAAATGCTCTCCTCATTTGCAAGTGTCCTGTCGAGGATCTAGCTGGGCACAGATGGTGGGGGCAGATGAAAGCGAGGGCTTGCGAAGTACGGCAGGGGCTAGGACAACGCGATCCTGAAGGTGCTCACACAAGAAGAGGGGAAGGAAAAGCAAGCTGCAGTTTCCTAAGCTTATAATCTCATCTCCGAGTGGGTGCAGAGGGAGATCTGACGATAAAATGCAGGGTTACTTCTTAAAAATTAATGCGTCAGAATAAAAGAAAACCAGACTATGGGAATACACAGCAAATAGCATCATCGTGATATTTTCATAGTATAGAAAACAGCCTACAAATAAAAATCACAAAAAATAGACAGTTATATGCTGAGCAGCCAGAAATGTCATGATTTATTAATATCTGGAGAAACTTCATAATTCAAACACAACCAAACTGTACATTTTACAATCACATTCTATTTGTAAACAGTTAAAAGCCACTGACTTCTTTTGCATCTTAGGACACAAACAGTTAGAATCAAGGCAATGAAATGATGGCGATTTCTGCACTGTTAAAATTTTTTTACCCTTGCCTAGTCTCTCAGTCTTTGACCAAGCAAGCTTCATATAATAATACCATTTGTGGCAAAAAGATGTAACTCGTTACTTTTGCAAGAAAGTAGTTGCGAGAACTCTTTAAACATTTAAAACTTTTTATACAACAAACAATTCTGTAAGCCCAATAACTTGGTTACAGTATGCATAGTTACTCAGATCGGCTTTAAGGTACAACAGTTAAACGTTAACACAGTCACAAGAGCAGAAACGGAGCCACTCGATGGGATTACAAAAAAATTGTATAACTATAGATTATTAGCAAACCACCACCACTCACTAATAAAAAGACAGCGTCAGAAAGCAGTGTGTCAAACTCCAGCTTGAAGCGATTTTTTGGCAGAGAAAAGTCTTACAGAGCAATAAGTAGTATCAGTGCTAAAAGTTGAGTTTTTTTTTCCTATAAGAAACTACAAGGAGTTTTTACTGGGGAACTGGTTTTCCTGAGAGCCATGCTCTTTGATTTAGGAGACAGGAATAGAAAACAAAAGGACATGGCCAAACACTGTTCGTTATTCCCAGAGATAGAAAGCATCTTTTTCATTCTCAATTTTTTTTGTCTTTTTAAAAATTTTTAAAATGATGGAAGAGTAAACATCTTTCTCAAAAACAAAAACAAAATATTCTGTAAACAAGGAGGCCCTGACACGGGTGCCCCCAAAACAAAATTGAAAGCCTATTGAAAGTGCAGGACCCCCCCTGGCTGGCAGGCTGGGTTGCAAGTCACAGCTGTGGCCACAGTTTTTTAAACTGTAGAGCTAAATTCTTTAGTTTTACACATGAAAAAACTGGTGCAATACTTTCATTCATAATCCTAAGTCAGTATCATAACTTGTTCTTGAAACGCCACAATACCACAATAAGGTAGGCATACATCAAGGCATAGTAGGGAGCGCACACTGTTTTTAAGAACATCCTTGAGTAAACATTTACACGTGAACTGCTGCCTCCCCGATATTGCCGATTAGACAGAGAGAACATCATTCAGTGCAAAAGTTAAAAAGCTCATACTCCAACATCATCAGCAAAATGCAAAAAAAAAAAAAAAAATGGAATTCAAAGAATAAACATGATGAATATACACAAATGAGCTCATTCCAAGCAGTTTTATATGGATAGCACTATCTGGAAGTGTAAATATATACTTTTTTCACATTATACTATTGGCCTGCATGATTCAAGTATTCAAACTGATATGTTTTGGGCTAAAACAAAGTGGAAAATGTGCAGAAAGTAACTGTTTCCACAGGTGACCCCCTTGCTGTAGGTGAAAAGTCCAGTTAGTGCTGCTTTGTTACATCTTGAGGTTACAGTTTATTAGTTGAAAAAGTAAAAGATTACATGGACTCTCCACCTCCACCGAGGTGGTCAACAGGAAGGAAAGCGTTGATGGGGGATGGGCTGCTAATTCCCCGGGTGTCATTGCTGCTCGGGGTGCCCCACAGGCTTGTGGAATAGTTGGAGCTCCCCCAGAGTGAAGTGCCATGAAGGTCTCCACTGCTAGTTCCCGACAGCCCAGCACCATTCCAGTGATTTAGATCATTACGGTTTGAGAACGAATGGGAACTGTCAATGGATCCAAGTCGGTTCTGGCTGGATCCAAGAGATTGCCAGCCAGGAGAAGGAGTCAGAGACTGGCCTTGTGCAAAGAAGCGACTAATCTCCTCTTCACTGGCAAACTCAGCAAGAATAGTAGTGTTCCCTAATACACACCTGCAGAGAAAGGGAGAAAAGGAGGTTGAACAGGGGGAGGGAGCCCCTCTTGCTGCACTTGTGCTGACCGGTGCTGGGAATGCCTCCGCAGCTAAGGAGAAATCCCCCTGCTAATCAATCCTGGACCCCAAGGAGCTCCCTACAGCCTCCCCGTGTGCCACTCGGCCAACCCAGTGACCGAATTGATTGTCAGTTGCAATTCCGACCCACACTTACATGTGCAGAGATTTTTGTGCCTTCACTACCTCTTCTTTTGAACTGTAACGGACCAAAGCATTACCATGTGGGAGGTTAAGGTGGAATGTTATTAGTGGACCGTGCTGCATGCACAGGGTACGCAGGGTTGAGCCATCGATCTGAGGAGCAAACACACAAGACGTCAGAAGCTTACACAAAGCGAGGGCCGCATGTAAGACGTGCTCGAGGGTGACAGTGCCACCTATCGTCCGTCCCAGGGCTGCATTTCCAATACAGTGCATTTAATACCGATGTCTCCATCGTGCTTACCTGAGGTGTAAGGTTTTTTAGAACAAGCCAATTTGTTATTCTCCCTGAGCTGCTCTCACCCCAGCTTGAACCTAAACAAGGGAAAATAAGTAGTAAATACCCCACCATGCTAATAAGTAAATAGCGCAGGAGAGTAGAAAGCTACATCCTCGCTAGCAGAAATGGTTGAGCGCGCAGGGAAATGTGAGGAAGCGCAGACCTTCCCCTCTTAGAGGTCAAACTGCTAGGCAAGCATCTGTGTGGGCCTGGCATAATATTTAGTGTCCTTAACTCTTCGTCTATTTACTTTTATGTGCTTGGGTGGCTTGAGGTGATCGGTAGCTACGTGCTGCTATTTAACTGTAACTGATCTTAGAAACCATTTAAAATAAAATGAAACCCATGTGTCTCCATTTTTGCCTACTGTCATAAGTTCAGAACTGCTCCTACATTCGTTGGAAGAGACACTACACTTCCAAAATCCACTTGGCTCTTTTGGGAAAGTCAGCAGAACCACAATCTCCAGATCCAGCAGTGGCAAGTAGCCTGCTTGAGCCTAGGAAGAGGTGGAAGCTAATGCTAGAAAGGGGCGTATCTAGCCTCCGTCCCTTCTGACTTCAGACTAACATGGCTAAATACCTCTCTCAGCTAACACTATGGCCAGAATGAACATTGAACTCAGTTCATGTTACTGCTACATGTAGCAAACTCAAAAGGTAAAAGAATCCACTTTGGTCATTAGAAAAATCCCTAGAAATGGGGTTAAAAAACAAAACGAACAACACAGGCTGGCTCTAATCTTTGGCAGGATGAACCTGACAGAGTGATAACCACAATCATTTCTCACCTGCACACACAGAAGAGATTGCCTAGTTTAACACTTACCAGGGGTATATCTGGCATCAGAATTTCCCCATCCTCCACCCAAACGTAGGGAGTTATCCCATGTGGACAAAGGTGGTTTCTGGCCTGTCAGCCCCGGCGGTGGGCGGGACGGAGCAGTGATGCTTTTAGGTGGCAAAGGGACCTTCCACAGCTCATGAGCCAGAGAGGTGTTAGTGACTGATCCAGGAGACCATGTTGATTTGGAATCACTGTTTCTGGCTACTAAAAGAAAAATAAAGAGTGATGATAGCTGCATCATTTCTGTTACTGCCACCTTACAACAAACAGGTCAGAAACCAGCAGCACAGTGGAGTTGCAGCACTGCCATCTACAGAGACATGATGCTTGGGGAATTGGACATGCCGTAGGAACCTGTAAACACATTTGAAGGGAAAACAGGAACCTTAGAACTGCTTTCTAATCCCCGTCTCTCAGATCTTTACACAGGGTAATGCAGGTTGTTTCTGTTATTTTGGGTAGTCTTTCCTCACTGTGCACTGAAGACAGGAGATACCAACATGGTTACAGAGGTGCTGCTGCTGCTTCTAAGCATCTGTCACCCAAGTAAGCAACAGACGACTGGCTCCCCCCCAGTAGCAACTGAACACATGCATCCTCCCAACTGACTCCAATCCATTTGGACAGATGCACATTGTGTTTAAGGAACTTTAGGAAAGGAGTGTGAAGGCTCACAAAAACTACAGTTTAGCAACTTGCACCAGGATGAACCACCTTGGAAATGACTACAGTTACCACCGAGGGGAAACGGTTAGCACTGCTTTTAATGAATGTGCAGTGCCTTGCCGCAAGTGCTGTGTCTAAGGCAAACAGGTGCTACCTGAAGTGCTTTGTGCTGTACTGCTGAGGGAAACATTGTAGTTGGAGGCACGAATGGATGACCAGGCACTAGTTGAAGGCAGCGTGGTGTTCAAAGATGAGGATGACCCTATTGAAAGAAGAGTGCAAGTTACAGAGAGGGTTACCTACTGCCCTGCACTGAGTAACTAAAGGCATGAATCGCACATCTAGGCTGTGGGTCTTAATGGGCCCAGACTAGAAACCCCTCCATTCACTTCAGCCCTCAAGCCACCGTTTGCTATGGTCACACATGGCAATTCTGCCACGTTGTTTCACCAGCCTTCAAAAACACTTCACACAGGGACTGTGCTGAACACACGCTGCTGCTACGCATTCTCATTACACGCCAGCAAGCTCTGCATATGGATACACTGCACCCAGAAACCACCCGACTCCAGGAACAGCCTGTTAGCTATGAAATCCACCACGCCATCAATGTTAAACAAGCCATGGGAAAGCAGCAAACCATCCTCAACCGAATGGATAATGATCCATGGGTGGCTATTAGCAAACGCAATGCTGACACGTACCACTGTTCCTGTCCCTGAGGTGGTCAACTTCCCGCACAGTATTAATTGAAAGATTGTTTATGACACTGCCAGGAGTGACGTAAGGGTCAGTTTCAGGGTCGATGTTTGGATAACCTTTCCATGGCTCGCCAGGACGAAACTCTAGGAACAAGATGGAGAGAAGCAGAGAGTCAGAATACTGAGTTAGCGGCCCTCTTACAGAAGAGCCCCTCCCCAAGCCTTACAAACTCCTAGCCATGGCCTACAACCCAACACGTCTTTTTTTCCCCACTTTATTCTCATCACTCCTACTTCTCAGCCCCCCGGCTGCTAGGGCAGAATTTCCAAGGATGGGAAGATCATTTATGTGCAAAGCCAGGGACCTCAACACCCTGGTTGCACCTCTGGCCTAAAAGGTTTTTACTTGTTATGAGCAAATGACCACATAACCAGTACTGCAGAACCTGGAAGCAGGGCACAAAATCAGAATGCTACTCAAGTTCACCTGGTGGCCAGTTAACACTGCTAGAGCCATTAGGCGATTTGGCACGTGGCCAGCCGTCCCCAATAGATCCTGGAGGACTGGCTGGTGAATTACTGCTGTTCATAAAGTCATATGGAACAAAGGGAGACTCCTCCAGCCTGAAACCACTTGAAATAGCACCTGTGAAGAGAAACAGAACGGTCAGATATGCCCCTCCACTGCCCCAGTCCCCTGCCTACGCAACATCTGTACCACACGCAGCCGTCTAAAAAGCCCAGTGGGTAAGGTCTTCACTCCTGATCGTCACCGTGGACTTGTGGTGATCCCTACAAAAGACCTTCCGGCACTGGCAGCTAGATGACCCTGAGAACAAGCAAGGGCAGTACCGTAACTCAGTGAAATGCTTCAGGCAGCAAGCCCTTTTTGTAGAGTTAAAGCAGCTGCCAAATCTAAAAATATAACTAAGCAACCCCTGGTCTAAACTGCAATGAGAAGCCATTAGAGACACTTACAACTATCTTTAGAACAAAAGTTGTTCATTCAGATTGCCAAGTTTTAATCAGAAGCGACTTCAAGTAGCTGAAACACCAGGAGAGTTAACCACACAGATCACAGCCCTGATTCACATTCTAGGTCTTCCTGCTTATTCTACCACATTGGATAAAATAATCCCATTTTTCCAACTTTGACAAACAGTCTGTGCTTTTATAATGTAGAGATTCATAAACCAGACATTAAATGATAAGACATTAAGCTTATGCTTTTATATTCATTTATTATAAAACAGTTAGTCTACAAGAGACCAGGATTAATTTAATACTTTAACTAGTCAAAGCACCTAGATATTTTGTTTTAGAAATAAAAAAGGTGCTCTGTTTCAGGTTATGGCAGAAATTAGTCACTAAGACCACGTTCTAACAACTCGCTTTTGTCTGGTTTCAAGGATGTTTAACAAGTTCTGCCCATCTCATTACAAAATAGCTTCAAAGTAAAGACGCATGGTAGAAGACTACAGACTGGTGCCAAAAATACACAGCAAGTTGTAGTATGAAATATCTCTAGTGCAGAGAATTAAAGAAAAATTAGGTCAATAAAACGAATGGCAACA